TTATAATCTGAATAATCCCCTGCCACCTAGGATCAGTAAGGTCACATGGAAAACCAAGTAGACAGTATTTGCACACACTGCCTTCTCAGGCAGGAGAAGACTAATTCAGTTAAGTCTGTGATTCTGACAGTCAGACATACATTAGATTGAGGTCTGTGAGCAACAGGTAGATGTATGATAACTTTGGAAACTTGAGGAAAATGAAATTTTTCCAACCTTGAAAAGTTTTTTTTATGGATAACTGCAGCTTTAGGAAGATGTAAGAACAATCTTGCTCAACTTTAAAGCAAGGTAGAACTTGATTCAGCTATCAGGGTAACATAGTTGGCTAGCATTGGCAGAACAGACTTAGATCAATTGTATTGTAAAATTTGGGGCAAGTAGGTGGCCCCGTGGATAGAATGCCCAGCGTAGAGTCAGGAGGACCTGAGTTCAAATTCAGCCTCAGACACTTAACTAGCTCTATGACCTAAGGCAAATCACTTAACCTTGCCTGCCTTGGTTTCCTCAGCTGTAAAATGAGCTGGAGAAGGAAATGGGAAACCACTCTAGCATCTTTGTCACGCCAAGAAAACCCCACATGGGGTCACAAAGAGTCGGATATGACTGAACAACAAAAAGTGTCCATAGGATAAACTGTGGTCCGAAATATTTTCTGGAAAAAATGCTGTCATAACTTGTTGACTTTTTCAGACCTATATCTAGCTTGTATCATGGTTCAATTATAAATACCGAAACCACTCTCCCAAAAATATTTAGCTTAGTTAACTGCATTTGATTATAAAAATATTGTGGTTTTTCAGTGATAATTGGGCCAAAAACAGAACAGCCCTCAAAACTTTGTACTGAGAACCATTCACATATGACATGGGTGTAATTATTCTAACATAAGTAGGTTTATTGGCTCCACAGATAACTGCTCCACACCTTTAAGCCACTTAAAAATCTACAAAGAATTTCAGTAACTTTTCCTTCCAAGTCCTGATGTGAACTGAATAAATGAGCTGATATGTTGCAATGATTCATCCACATTTTCTTTTAAACCTCCTTTCCAGGGCATATACACATGTCCATTTCCTCTCAGTCTTTTTGCACATCTGCCTTGTTGCTGTAGAAATCAGTCAACAAGTATTAAGCACCTACTGTTTGCCAAACAGTGTGCTAGGCACCAGGGGTTCAAAGACAATGAATGAAGCAAATCCAACGGAGAAGGCGCTTACATTCAGATGGGAAAGACAAGTGCATGTGTAAAGATGTGCAGAACAAATCTAAAAAGAATAAATGCAAGTAAATACAATGTAGTTAAAAACAACATGGCTTAAGAAGAAGCACCCCAGCCGGTGGAAGGATCAGGGAAGGCTCCGTGTAGACGGCGGTGGTTGAGCTGAGTCATAAAGTAAGTGAGTTGTGATAAGGGTTCAGGGAGGACTAGCTCCTCTGGTGTGAGGGCTCGCTGAGTCCTTTTCAAGGCTGCTCATCCACCTTTGGTGTCTCCCTGTCACCCAACTCTCACCTGTGGCTCCAGGAAGCTGTAGCATGCACAGCATCTACACCCTGGTAAAACTGTTGGGTTGAACCAGGTTGTGGGTAACCAACAGGCCTCAGATCAGCTGGTGAGTCAGGGAGGTGCCTACCCCAAACGTGTAAAGACTTCCCCCAGCAGAATGGGCACTATGGAGCACTTAGAGCTTGGTCAGACATCAAAGACACCACAGTCCTCTACTGCGTCCCTGGCCATCATCATCTTGACTTTTGTCTTGCCACTGGACTTCAGTAACTCTGGAAGAGAGAGTGAGGCTGATGTCTTTGCACAACTCTGTCTCACTTAAATCCAGTTAATGCACAAGTCAAGACATCATGATGTCATTGTCCTCTTTGAAACAAAGGATGAAGAATAAAAGGAGAGAAGAGGGGAAAGGAGTATCCATCGAGGGAGGGAGGGAGGCACAGAGCAGGAGATGGGAAGCTTTAGATGAAGAACTGAAGGCTACTTTGGCCAGATCACAAAGTACAGGAGGTCATGAATACATTATGAAGGTGGAAAGATACCTTGAGGCCAGGTTGTGAAGGATTTTAAAAACTAAGCAGAGGAATTTATAATTGCACCTAAAGGGAAGAGAGATCCCATGTTGACTGAATGTCTAAGGACAATCTCTTTAGCAGCTGAGTGGAGGATGGATTGGCTTGGGGAGAGAATTGAGGCTGGGAGACCAATTAGGAGGCCACTGCAGTAATCTCAGCAAAAGGGGGTAGCTGTGGGAGGAGGGACAAAGAGTTGGGATGAGAGAGATGTCCTGAGGATAGAAAAGGCAACACTCAATAGCTGACTGTGGGATGAGGGGAGAGTAGAGGATAACACCAAGGTTAAGAACCTGGAGGCTACAAAAATGGGGTGCCTTCAACAGAAACAGGCAGGTTTGGAAGAGGGGTGGATTTGGGGGAAGGGATCATGAACTCAGTTTTAGACCTTACTGCATTCAGTGTATCTCTGGAACATCCAGTTTGAAATGTCCACTAAGCAGCTGGTGCTGCAGCGATATACACCAGGGAAGAGGCAGGTGCTGAATATGTACCTCTGAAGTCATTTCCATCAATATAATTAAAACTGTTGGAGCTGATGAGATCACTGGGTGTGTACAGAGAGAAGGGGGAGGGTTCTAGGACAGAGCCCTTGGGGAATACCGACAGTTAGGGAATGGGATATAAATAGTGAATGAGCAAAAGAGTCTGAGGAGTGGGTACATCAAAGGAGAAACAGAAGAGGGGTTGATCACCTGGGTCAGATGCAATAGATAATTTAAGAAGGATGAGGATTGAGAAAAGACCATCAGATTTAGCAATTAAGAGATCATTGAAAGCTTTGGAGAGAGCAGTTTCAGTTAAGTGATGGTCAGACACCACATGATAAAGAGATGCAGATGATTTCCTCTTCTCACTCTCCCCCAGTAATTCAGATCTGTTCTATACTAGATCTCTGTCATTAGCCCTTCTGTTTTGTTGTCTTTTTCTCTCATTTCTTCTATCTCCTATTAATTCTGAACTTTCACACAAGTAGTTTGACTTTGTATACATATTATCCACATTCAGAATACTCCTGTCATCCTTTACAGCAAACCAGTTACAAGATGTTGAATGTAATCTTCTGGTCTTTGCCTCCTTGGCTTTGTTGAAAGCCCTGGAGAAGAGTTGAGAAAATGTACTTGCTTCCCTTTTTTTTGCAGAGGTGGGAGACAAAAGGTGTGGGTTGTTATGCATCATATCAAATTTGGTTGATGCTGACCTGATTTTTTTCTTTTTATTCTTCATTACAAGAAATGGCTCACTAAGTGTGTGGGAAGGGACACATTGGATATGAAGCATGGGCCTGATGTGGTATTTTAAGCCCGTACCCTGTTTCTGGAGGAAGCTGAGGATTTCAGAGCTGCAGTGAGCTAGGGTATGCTGACTTGGGCAGATGAGAAAAGAAAAATCAGGAAATGATAACCCTAAGGGAGACATTAATAGGATTTTAGCTCGAAAAAAGTTTACACAGTCTAAGTAGAGTAATCAGATTTTATAGAAATCACTTGGAGAGTCTCTTGTTTCATGCATCAGTGAATTTAAGTCTTCAGGAAAACACTCCTGGAGGTCATTAATGCCCTATTAATCTTATCTACCCAACCTCTTTTCACATTTGTCCCCTTTCCTGCATTCCCATGGCCACCACTAATACAGACTCTCTTTACTATTACATGGCTTCGAATTCTTTCCAAACCATCCCTCACCTTCCTGCCAGATAGAGCCTCCCTGTTCAATGATGCCGTTCTTTCCCTGCTCAGAACCTGCAAATGGCTTCCTATTCCCTTTCCCAACATTCAGACCCTTCATAGTTTGGCTCTTCCTGCCTTCTCCTGCCTTGTCTCACCTCCCACTCTTCTGCATACTCTCCACTGCAGCCAGCCGAACTGCTCAGCCGTCCTAGACATGCTTTTTATTTACCTCCTTCCATGTCTTCCCCAGGCTGAAAACATCCAGCCCTCCCTCTTCTTCCCCTTCCTTCACCTCTCCATGGTGGATTTGTACATCCTCTAAAGGCTAACTCAGTCACAGGGTTAGAGGCAGAAGGGTCCAGCTCCTCATTGTATAGAGGAGGAAATTGAGGCCCAGGGATCTTAAAGGACTTGCCCAAAGGCACATAGATATTAAGTGGAACTATCAGAATTTGAAGTCAGATTCTTGGACTCTGAATTCATCCCTGGCTGCTGAAACCTACCGAGCCTACAGCTGCTACCTTCCAGCCACCCCAGACGGCCAACAATATCCCTCCCTTTGGCTTCATGTCATCTAGCACTTTGCCTGAACGTGTAGCATGTGTTTCTCACGTAGCTGTTTGTGTGTGTGCCATATCTGTTTCCTAGAACATAAATTCAATAAAGCAATTTCTTATCTAAACTATGTATCTCCCTGAGTGTTTAGTACAGTGCTTTGTCCAAGTAGGAACTAGATGTTTGTTTAGTTTAACTGAAATGAATAATTTTCATAGTTTAAAAATTATAAGTTTTGGGATCGATTTTAACTACTCAATCTTAGAATATATTTGTTCATCTCAAAAGTGGGTGTGTCCTTTAAAATAATGTTCAGTTATCAGTTGTGAGAATTTTTTGTTTAATAATTATGCTGTCTGATAAGATTCCTTTGTAGCTTTATATAATAGCAATTTTCTTCTAAATCTAAGAGTTAGCATGGTGCTGTGGAAAGAGTCCTAACTAAAGAGTCAGAGCAACAGAATTCAAATTCCACCTCAGCTACTTACTATGGCCTCCGAGACCTTGGGCAAGTCAGCCTAAAGCCCTCTGGCCCTTAATTCCCTCAGCAGTAAAAAGGAATAAAAAGTTAATTCCTACAATTAAATTTATGATCTTGTGGATTTGGAATGTGTTTTACAGTCTTGATGCAAAATAGCCCCTATTTGAAATATATAATATATAGTTCTGTTATTATTGTTTGCTTATCTTTTACAGGTTTGTATTTCATCAGTCAGAAAAATTTGATAATGTAGAAAATAAATACCAACTACTGAAATTGGAAGCCGCAGAGTTCCATAGCCTTCAAAGTCAAGTGGATTTAATTTCTGAAAAGGTAATGACTTCAATGTAGGAAAGTTTGGTAAAGATTACAATGCTTAAGGAAGATGAAGGTATTTTATCCAAATGCAAATCTGAAGGGTTTTACATAAATGTCGTATTTTTCATTACAGTATGGGACTAAAAAAAAATGCAACAAGTTATTAGACCCTTGTGGGAGAAGGGAAGCAGGAAAAGATGATGAGTTTGGTTTTAGATATGTTGAATTTGAGATTCTGATGGGACATTCAGGTAAAACTAACCAACAGGAAGTTGGAAATTAGGGGCTGGAGCATGGGGGGAAATGGGAGCAGAGATCTAGATTTGAGAGTCGTCTACACCAGGGTGTTAGTTGAAGCCTTGAGAATAGATAAACTCTTTAAAGAAGGGAAATGGTGAAAGAAGAAAAGGCTTCAGGCAAAACATTGGAGAATACATAAAATTAGGGATTAAGGGAAGGAAAAAGAGCCAGAGAGATGGACGAAAAAGAGCCAGAGAGATGGACAAAAAAGGATGGGAGAAAATTCATAGGAAAACCAGAACAGTGCAGGGCCACAGAACCCTGAGAGAGGAGAGTTTCAGGAAGAGCAAGGAGGGAATCAATAATGCCATGCTACAGAGCAGCAAAGGAGAATGGAAACAGAAAAAATCATTGGATTGGGCAATGGGGAATTCATTGATAGACCCTCAAGAAAATCTGTTATGTAAAATATGGAAGCCAGATTGCCAGAGATTGAGGAGCAGGAAAGTTGTAAAGTGGAGGCATTGAGTGTAATGTATTCATTCAGGAAGAATGCTAGGAGGTGCAGCTAGGTAGAGCACTGGCCCTGGAGTCAGGAGGATCTGAGTTCAAATTCGACCTCAGACACTTGACACTAGCTGTGCAACCCTAGGCAAGTCACTTGCCTCACCCAAAAAAAAAATGCCAGTAAAAGGAGAGATGGGGCAGTATCTCCAGGAGGAACAGTTTAAGGTTGAAGAAAGATTCCTTTTTTTTTTTTTCTTTTTCAGGAAAAGAGAGATTTAATATGTGGAGCCTGAAGCAAAAAAACTAGCGGAGAGGGGTGGGGTGGGGTTGAAGTTGTAAAAAAGAGGATCTCAGATAAGGAACAACTTGCAAGAAAGAAGGGATTGAGGTGAAGGCCATCTGTAGACAGTTTTGCCCTTGGAAAGAGGGACTGTTTCCTCTGATGCAAAAAGGAAAGGAGAAAAAAAAATAACTGACACTACAGATAATTGTTGTGGACAAAGAAATTCTGGTCAGATGGTCTCATCATTAAAGTAGGATGTAGCATCTGAGACTAAGAAGGTCTGGGAGGGACGGAGTGTGCATAATATTTGAAACTGCTTTTATGGTAAAAGGCTTGCTCTTTGGTATCGAGGGTCCCACCTGAGTGTGAAGACAGTAACTTTGGTTTTCAGCATGTTAGGGTTGAGGTGAGGGCAGAACACAGAGCTGTCCGGCATCCAGTTAGAGATTCTGAGGAGAGAACTTGAAGATTGGGAGTTATCTGTAGAGGTGATACTCCAAGCCCTGAAAGTGGGTGACGTCTATGAGAGAAACTGTAGTGATGACATACACCAGGCCTTTGACGAAAGGGTGGCCTTAAGCAATTGGAGACACCAGGAGAGTGGTCATGATCGACTCCAGGCTCCATTAGATAAATCTGGATTAGCACAGGACTGGTGGCCCCCAAAGCCATCTCTTTTCTATGAGAAATTAATTCTGTGTGTCCCCAAGGCTGTTAATAAAAGGCACCTCTTTGACCTGTAAATTCTAGGTGCTACAAATTATCAATCTATGTGGAGGTTTACCAGTGTTCCCAGAGGCATGTCAGCATATAAAATATAAAAATACCTTATTATTAGGTAAGTAGAGTCTGAGAGATCACATCACGTCAGCATAGTCAATTAGGAGCCAGACTCAGTCTCAGGAAGCCTGCACATACTGGCTGCCTAATCCTGGGCAGGTCATTTAAGTTCTTACTGCCCCCAGGCAACTCTCTTAAGGCTTAAGTTGAAGAGCAAGGGACAATTTGCAACTGTCTCTACACCAATAAATTCACAGATCTAGACCAAAAATTATAGGGGCTTTCAGTCTCGCTAACTTTCTTTTCCATTTTTGCACTTGTTTGTCATTTCTACAAAATGTAACTTTCAGGCAATTTCTCCTTAAGAGGTTTGGAAAACCACAAAGAAAAATGCTTTTTGAAAAAAATTTTCTTATCCAAATGCTTTTTATAAGTTAGTGGCAGCCAAATAAAATATACAACTTATCTAGATCACTTTTATACCCCCCCAAAAAAAAGGTAAAAAGAAATTAAAATGAAATTCTCTCTTGCTTTTAATATTATTTACTAAGATACAAGTCTCCAAGGCCTCAAGAAGGTATATATTTTTTAACTTGGAATATAATCTGTTAATTTTGACAAAATTCATAAAATGAAACAACTAGTAAATGAACTCCCCTTTGTGGGTGGTGTTCTGATATTGATGTGCTTATACATTTTAGAGTATCTTCAAAACTTGAACTTTGCACATCTCTTATGTTCCTGATTGTTAATGTGTGTGTTTCTCCACCATTAACTGCTATTAAGTAGACCTGGGAATTGTTTTGTGTTACAAATGCAGCTTGAGTCTACTGAAAGTGTCCTGCAGGAAACTACATCAGCCATATCTTTGATGACCCAATTTGAGCAGGAAGTGTCCAGTCTTCATAACATCATCCATGACATTAAGAACAGTGAGCAGATGCTCATACAAAGGATGCAGAACGTTAATGTGAAATTTAAGAATGTTACAGATTCCTGGAAAAGAAACCTAGATGACATGAATGCTCATACTGGCGGTTTAAAATCCGAAGCCAAACGTATGCATTCTCATGTTACTGGCCAAATTAACCTGGCTGAACAAGGCATAAAGTTGCTCACTGAAAGGCTCAAAGATTTGGAAGATAGCACTATGAGGAATATTAGAACCATCAAGAGACAAGAAGAAGACGACCTTTTACAAGTGGAAGAGCAACTGGTGTCTGATACAAAAGCCGTTGAAAAGTTAGAAGAGGAACAAAGAAGTCTCTTTGCTAGAGAAATAGATCTGAGCAATAAGCTTACTGACTATGAGCCTAAAGTGGAAGAATGCAAGACCCATTTACCAGCCCTTGAAAGTGCTGTTCACTCGGTTCTGAAGGTCTCCCAAGATCTGATAGGGACAGAAAAGAAAATGGAAGATTTAACCATGAAGATGTTTAATATGGAAGATGATATGCTGAAAGCAGTGTCAGATATTATGGATATGCAGAAAGCCCTTGAAGGAATGCAGTATGATAACAGCATGCTGAAAATGCGGAATGAACTACATTTTCTAAAGGGCAAAGTTCAAGAGTTCATAGCATCTTCCAGTATTAGGGAAAAAGGAATTTTAGAATATGACCTAGAAAATAAAGGGATTGGCGAACAGTAAATTCAGCCAATTCGTGTTAGGAAGAAGTGTGTTATCTCATACATTTATATCATGTTTTGTAGTTATTTTGATATATGGTAAAAATGCCTAACTTATGCCACATGGTTACAGAACAAGGGGGTCTCATTCACATAAGAGGGTTTTTCAGATAACCAAAATGTAGCCATTTAAACACCAAAACTTCACAAAAATCATAACCATTTTCACTTAGGTTTCCAAAATGTATGACATATTTCCTTGCCTTCTTAAATAGAGTATAGTTGACATCATTTAGCTTCTAAGTTGTCATTATAAGCATGAGCTATTTTACAAAGCTGAAATATAATTGTGGCTTCAGGTGGCCACAGACGGCTATGAATTTTGAGTCATTGTGTATATTGTTGTGTGGTATAGTGGAAAGAGCACTAGACTGAGAGTCAGAAGACCTAGGTTTGAGTCCCAGCTCTCTCACTTCAGGAGGCAAGTCACTTGACCTCTAAGCCTCCTTTCCTTTCCCTTTCTGTGAGATGGGAATGATGGTACCTGTCCCGCCTACCTCACACCAGTGAGGATGGTGCCTTGTCAGCACAGTGGTAGCAATCACTTCTTGCTATCAATGTGCATACTTCCAGCAGTACCCCCTCACCTGATATTCTCTTAAGCCTCTGTAGGCTAGGAAATGAGACAAACACTTGGTATGAGTAGGAGGAGTAAATAAATAGGTGCAAAGGGTGAGCTTTGAAGGGACTCACCTACGAGTTCATTGCATGAGTATTATTAGTGCATGAACAATTCTGTGTCATCCATTCTGGCTAAGCAGATCTCTTGTTTGCTCACATCTTGGTTCTTACCTGTGTTTTGTATGCTTGAGCTTATCAGATAAATGAAGTAATCTATTTATTGCTCAGATAAACTAAATAAACCCATGGATTGTATTGGGGGGGGAGTATATTAAATAATAAAAATGGTAAAATAAAATTTAGAGACTACTTCTGCCTTTTTCAAATATCTCAACTCAAAGTATTATTCCAGACATTACTCAAATTACCCAAATGAATTATTTTTCTCCTTTGTATTTTTTGTTTAATTATGTAGAGTCGCCAAGGAACTCAGGGTCTGAATATACTGCGAGAGATGAGCTGAGTCTTTAAGACTGAATGGTTACAAGACATAGATTTAATTCCTGGAATTGTATCTTTAAATTTCTTAACTTTGGAATGCTAAAGTTCTTACCCACAACTGTGTACTAACAAAATTATGTTCTTTGTTTACACTACATCATTCAGTTTAACATAAGAAAATTTGTGAGCTGAAACAGTCTGGGTTTTTTAAATGGCATAACATATTAGAGTATCACAAAAGTTATCATTATAAAATTTTTTCAGCCCCTGTTCTGCGTCCTCCATTTATCATCATAGACCCTTTAATGACTTAGTAGGAACTTCCTAGCAGACATGATCTCTCTCTGTTAGTGAACATCTTTTTAATTATATATTTTTTTCATGTTACCAAATGTCGTACAACTTAAGTTACAAACTTGGACATAGCTTGAGTAAATCTTACTCAGTGTTTAGA